TCACTATCATTCTTCTCTTCGTATAGTGTATGTTGTTTTTTTAATAGTTGCGTGTATTTGATCGTGCCTACATTTGATTTTAGTCGACGTGTGTCTGTGGCACATACTTCATCATTTCATTTTTGCTTCGTTGTCTATCCTTTGTGCGCACACGCGCATGTCAAATAGATAAACAGTTACTATTAGCATGTTGAAATGGGCAATTATTAATAAAACTTCCTGTCTTTCTCAATCGATCTGGAACAGACAAGTAAATTGCAAAGATGACAAAAGCAAAAGTTTAGGTAAGTTGTAAAGGTTTCGTACGAGAGTGACAGCCAGTATGATTACATATCAGTACAGCGAGTCTGATTGATCGGATGTAGAAAAGAGGAGGAGGTTTCTAATGACCATGTTCGAAATAGGTCGTGATATTTACGCATGCTGAGAACTCAACACATACGTACACATTTGTTGGCCGATCTTGACACATTGCCTATTGTCGTCAGTTATATTTCTATATCTGTATGTATAGAAGAAGAAGAAGAAGAAGTTGTTGCAACAACAACAATAAATACTACGACAATAAATATTCTACGATCAGACAGGCATGATCAGCAGGCAAAGTATTTGAACGTTTGTACGTATAAACACAGAAATGACAGCTGTACAAAGTAGCTCCATTGTCTTTCTTTTCTTTTTTCTTTTCTCATGGTGACGTTGCCCACCACTTAGCAATAGAAAAATCCTTTTGCGTGCTATACCCTGTGGGATTTCGACTGCTGTCAAAGCAAGAATAGCAAAAGCAGCCGCTCCGGATAATGAGACTGTGCCATTTGGTCTGAGGCATATAATTGTTGTTGAATCTGAAACACAAAAAAAGAAAACTCAACTTTTGTTCCCGTCTATCTCTTTGACATTCGATGCATGTTGTCATATTTATGTCAAATCTCGTTTCTAACATTTCGACTTGTATAATGATCCATCATCTTATATATATTCATGTACACGTCTTCGACAATCTCTTCCCTTGTCTATTTGACACATCTTGTTCTCTATCTCTCGCTCCTTATCCATCTATGCATTGTTATTTCAACCGATGACGCTGCCCAAAAGATACATGTTTTTCCGATTTTCTTCGTGCTGCCGGAAGCATTGATAATCGCGGGTTAAGGTTGTACACAATGACGTTGGCACTGTCAATGTATGTTGTACACGTGTAGAGAGCGAACAAAAAAGTAATTGAGAGACAAAAAAAAAGCAAGCCTGTATAAGACGATATTCGTCACTGAATTACTGATTTACATTGTTCTCTTATTCTCTTCATATTTCATCTGTGATAGAAACATGCGTTCTTTCTTCTCTCATAGTTGATGTCGATATAATCATTAGTATAGCTCGGCGTTAAAGATCATATCCGTGAGGATACATATTGATGAGCAAGTATTGAGTGAATAGAGAAGAGGGAGAGAGAGAAAAAGAAATAACAAATCTGTATTTTAATACATATTGAATTAGGTGAAAATAGGTATGTTGAAAGTTGTAATTTGCCCTCGATTTCTTATTTTTGTTAACAACAGTAGTATACTATCTGACTCCTTTTCCCAAATATATAAAGCTAATCTAATCAATAAAGAAATGACTACTATTTTGACAGATTTATCCATGACAAAATCATCAGTAACATATGCTTATTAATGTAGTTTAGAATAAAGATCTTCTTTCTCGTAAAGAAAATGACAACTGTTCTTTACTTCTTTTGAGATTACTTTGACGTTCTGAAAACATTTTTTTCTCTCTTCTGTTTTGTATATGTCTGTTTCTAGCTTATCAACATATAATCAAAGAGCAAACATTACGAAGAAGAATTAGCGGTAAAGAAAGGGAGGGAGAAAAGAAGAATTTGTTGACAGAAGAAAAAACGTCAACGAATGAAACTAGTTGTATCGCACGTTTTGATGCGTCAATCGGACACTAACAAAATTGAGCAATTGATTTCAATGAGAAACAGCTGCGAAAGAAATGTGAAATCCAATCAGGATTGTGTATCGCTATTTTGACATTCGTTTAAGTAAAAATATGTGATTAGTTCGGATGATAGTATCTTCCTTTCATTATGCTGATTGAATGTCTTCTTCTTCTTCTTCTTCGTTGTCGTCTGCGACTCCTAATTGTTATTGATGAAAAGCGAATTAACATTGGCCCAAATCGATTACAACGATGTGTATATGTACGTAAAATAGACAAGAAAACGCGGAGTTCTGCCATGTAGGAGGAAGATAAGCAATGTGGGAATAATGACAGACTGTTAGCTTAAAGAGAGTAATACTCTCTTGACATAATGCATAAACTTTCTTGAGCACTGCGAGATCAATTCAATTGGATTATGTATCGAGAGAAGAACTTACAATTATCATCTCAATACATAATGAAACTTAAATCGTCTTTCATCCGAAAGTTTCTCCTTCTCTTACCTTGTTGATGTTACAGTCGCTTATTCTTCGTTTTCTTCTTCTCATCTGTACGCAGAAACTGTTAGAGATGGAAACAGTTGAACATACCCTCAAGGACATCGTACGTATTTATTCTGGTGATAGTCTATTTCTTTTCTCTCAGTTTTCGTTAGTGACATAATGGATGGGTAGTCGTTTTCTTCTTGCTTTCGTCGAACAAGCGTTGACATTTAGAAGAGATATTCCTTTGGGAAAGACACGTAGATGATAGCTAACCAACCTTTGAATTTGTCCTATCCGTCATTCTAATTGTTTTCAATGGCAAGATAGCGCGATAGAGAGGAGTCGTCGAAGAATAAAACGAATCATCTTCTAAGTAATCCATTCAATCGACGTGCATGATCTATGAGGCAAAGAAATGATTCGGAAAAAAGTTTGTTAGTTTTATATTGGACTTGATAAAAGATACAATTTACGATTGATTTCTTTTCAAGTGGAGAAGAAGAAAAAACACTCCTAGTGTTTTTTTTCGTCATACTTTTTACATTCGTTTATTTGCATTTGCTCTTCGTATATACATCTCATTTGTTCTATTGTTGTCCATGTAATCACATTTGGGCAGAGATATATATATGTGTGTGTGCGTATGTATGCAATATTTGACAGTTTTGACATGTATTATCTATATCTACGCGTAAGCTTGAATCTAGGATGTCGTGTGTGAATATATTCGTATTTCTTCGTCACATGCCATTACACACTTACATTCTTTTGTTGTCGGTCTTCGTTTCTTCACACTCTGATCAAGTGAGCGAGTCTGTGTGCATGTATGTATGTCAGAAACCTTGCTTAGCATACATATGCACACACATGAACAGATCGAAGTTGAAGTGTGTTGCTGTTTATTCTAGCTAATTTTCTTCAAGCGTTTCAAAACAACGAAATTCTTTCTTCTTATTGATTTAGTTCCATCAGTGCAGCGATTGTGGCAATTTCTTTTTCTTTTTCTCTTTCTTTTCTCAACGAAAATGAAGGTAGTAGTCATAATCCAAATCAGTTTGTTGTGTATACGAGAAGAAAGCAATAGAGAGAGAGAGAATCAAGAGTAAGAGAGAAAAAGACAGGAGAAAGAAAGGAAGAAAGAAAGATGGAGAACAATAAAACGTCAAATGAGAGAAAGCATATGCACTCAAAAGAAAAGAAAAGAGATATGCAGTAGTAGATAACAAGGCTTGACAATAAACAGACACAAATCGTAAGTTTTTCTTCTTTTTTTTTTTAATGAAAGATAGTTTGTTAGTAGACATACGAAGAAAAAGAAAGAACTAGTAAGTTGTCCACTGTTTGTCCTTTTCATCTCAGCTGGAAATCGACTAGGTGATTGACAGATTGTCTAATTTCGGCTAACGAAAAAAACTAGCAATAGTTCATTTCCTGCTGAGATTATGAATTTCTTGCTCGAGCCGTGTTATCTCGTTTGCTTGATTCCCATCGATCATCTTCAATGAGACAATCTGATGTTTTTTCTTCTTCTCTTTATAAACGGATATTGAAACCAGTAGTGACGTCGTCGTATGATGATGATGGATATCTGCAGACAGCTGTTAAGGTGTTTGGACGATTGCACATGCTTAATTAATGTTGATTGATTCCTTGGTTGATTCTTCTTTTCGGAGTAAAAGAACGAAAAAGACGAGGGAGTCTTTATGTTTAAGACCTTCATTTTCGTCGCGGAATTAACTATAAGCTTTCAATCATTTTCTTCTCTGTAATTTGTCTCCATGAATGTACGTGATCAATGAGTACGCAACGAAAAATACTCGTTTTCGTCCTATTCATTTTCTCATCCGATCAGTATCATACGAATCAAATTAATCATGTTACTGTTGAATAAGGTGATGTCGCATATCTTATCTCTTTTTTTTTCGATTATATGAAGAAGGGAACGTGTGTATGCGTGTGTGAGAACAATAACAATAAAGCAGAAGAAGAAATGATAGGTTAATGACAGTCGAGTCAGTTTAGATTTTCTCCTCATGTCCATTATCATTGTAAAAAAAAAGTCCGGCAAAGATATATAGTAAAATACGTTCGTCGAAGTTGACATGTGTTTTTCAACACGAGCTCGATAACAGTGTCTCAATTTATCTTCATTTCATTGCAAGATTCGTTTTTTTATCAGCTGAGTTTTTTTTTCTCGTCATCTTACTGAAAATAGTCTATTATTCCTAACAATCTTTGTCGTTTTTTCTTCTCTTTCTATTACAAAACAATCATGTGGTAATTATGAAACATATTCTAGTCCTGACTTAAGCCATCTGTATTTGATTCCCGACTATGACTTGAAATGAAAACGTTATAAGAAAGAAGCGAAACGACGACACGCACACTCAGTATGCATTTCTCAGATAGTAGAAGATAAGAGAGACATTTTCTTTTTCTCTCTTCTATTTCATCTATTGCACCTGGCGTCTCATTGATATGACGATTAAATGATGACAATACCTCTCTTCTCTTCTAGAAAACTCAATGATTGATCATTCATACGATTCTCCACATTATCAAACAATGACAAATCTACTTTCTCCATCCTCTTCATCTTCATCATCGTCATCCTCCACAACAACGGCAACTACAATTAACCATAGCAATCATCATCATCACCACCACCACCACCATCAAGATCTCTATCCTTCATCTATCTACCATCACTCATCCGAAGTTATTGTTAGTCCACATCGTTCATCTCTTCTGATACAACAAAAACAACGAAGTCAAATTCTTGAACAAACAGATTCAGATTGTGATCTTGATAGTTCATCATCGTCATCAATAACAAATTCATCGAAATTGAAAAAACGACGAGCTAATCTACCTAAAGATAGTGTAAGATAACGCACATTCGAAAGAAAAATGACAGCAGTTGTTCGATGTTATATGAAACCGTTCGTTTTTTTTTCTCTTCATTCCAGGTTCGTATATTGAAAAATTGGCTCTATGAACATCGTTACAATGCCTATCCAACGGACGATGAAAAAGCCAATCTATCTCATCGTGCTGATTTATCTATCAATCAAGTTTGTAATTGGTTCATAAATGCTCGTCGACGAATTCTACCTGACTTACTGAAAAAAGAAGGAACTGATCCGAAAAAATTTACCATATCAAGGCGTTTTTCACGTGATCAAAAACGTTCATCACCCTCGTTGTCGGCGATGTGTTCGACTAGTGGAGAAAATACATCAAATGAAGCATCGTCAGCAGCAGCAGATATTAATCTTCTTGTCGAACGAAGTTCCTCACCATCGTTAATATTAACAAATAATTCAAGTGTTCTAAATAAACAATCATCATCATCATCCTCATCATCATCGTCGTCATCATCATCTATCGAACCTTGTTATACAACGAGGCATCATGTTCTACTAAAACCTATACGTGATCCAGCTGTTATCAATTTAATATCAAGTGAACAACAAACACGTCTCGCTTGTCCAAATGATTCATTAATAACAACGACGACGACGAATAGTAGTTCTACTGGTGATCTAGCCGGTTTTCAACTTCTTGTCGATGTAGCCGTGAAGGAACTACATCGAATACAACAGGANATCGAACCTTGTTATACAACGAGGCATCATGTTCTACTAAAACCTATACGTGATCCAGCTGTTATCAATTTAATATCAAGTGAACAACAAACACGTCTCGCTTGTCCAAATGATTCATTAATAACAACGACGACGACGAATAGTAGTTCTACTGGTGATCTAGCCGGTTTTCAACTTCTTGTCGATGTAGCCGTGAAGGAACTACATCGAATACAACAGGATAGCAATAGTGGTCTGCCACTACTTTGCAACTAATTTCTTGTGTCTTCCTCTTTTTCCCCTATGCCAGGAGAAATCATCAGCCATTTTTCTTCTTCTACTTCGTTTTTTTTTGTGTAAACAGTATGTTTGTTTCTTTCTTTCTCTTCTTTTAGAAGGGTCTTGTTTTTTCGTTTTTTTTATGTTCATGGTGCTTTAGTTCATTCATGAGATGAGGAATAAACGAAACATATATATGTATTTATATATATGTCAGAAAACTGTATAGATACACATATAGATAGATATATAATCACTCGTGTCAAATATTGGCTAATGTGATTTTTCTTCTTCTTTGTCTGTTATATTGACAACGCCTTATTGTCAATTCAATTAAGAATAATAGCTATACATTCTTCCGAAAGACTACACCATCCAGAAATGTATTGTTTTCTCTCTAAACAGACGAAATAAGTACATACAGAATATTGTTTACATTGTCAGTCAATTAAAAGGGCAAAACGCTCTTTGTCCTGTTGTTGATGTTGTTTCGCTGTTCGTCTTTGACTGAGTTCCATGTTTAGGAGTGGGAGGAAGAGATAGGCCTTGTATGTGAGCAATGTAGATTCGAAAATCTTCGAGCTAAATTGATCATGTGCGATAAGATCAATGCTCATCACTTATGTTTAATCAGAAGGCTTTGATTGTGTGACTGATGAGACATATATCGTTTCACTGGAATGCGCCAATGATTATCGTTCAAGTTCATTCGTTATTCGCTCGATTACATTGCGTACTCATCATTTGCCTATCGTTGTTTGTTGACAGGCGATCAATCGTGAATAGAAGAAACATCATGTCGTTAAAGAGGAGAATATGTGTATATCTAGCTCACTAGTCTAGTCAGATAAATACGTTGACGTCATGAAGATTTTCTTCTGATGTTTTTTTGATGAGAAAGTAAACGTTGGTAATCAATANTCAAGTTCATTCGTTATTCGCTCGATTACATTGCGTACTCATCATTTGCCTATCGTTGTTTGTTGACAGGCGATCAATCGTGAATAGAAGAAACATCATGTCGTTAAAGAGGAGAATATGTGTATATCTAGCTCACTAGTCTAGTCAGATAAATACGTTGACGTCATGAAGATTTTCTTCTGATGTTTTTTTGATGAGAAAGTAAACGTTGGTAATCAATAAATGATCATATAATCCATCATTGTTTCTACCTTTCTCTTTCAAGTAACACTTACCTAGTGCTTATTTTCCATTAATGCTGTTTTTGTCTGCTGCAACAGAATTAGTACTTGAAAATGTTTATGATCATTTAAAAGTATTCGCCGAACGAAAAGGAATCAGATGTTTAGAAACGAAATCGATGGCCTATGCGTGCCTAATGATTAGTATGAAGCGTTTCATTAAGCTGCGGGAAGGTTTAATCTTCTAGACAATCTTCTGGTTTCTAACGATGTATACAAACAGAGAATAGATCTAAGCGAGCGATTATGCGATCGTCTGTTGTAACCACACATTGGCTTTTGTTACATCAGTGAGATACATCTCGGAACGATTCACTAATAAGAACATCAATGTAATGACAGAAAATTAGAAAAGTACATTAGAAGAGAGCCATAAAATCATTGTGACCTGTCAATCAATATAGGATCTCGGTTTTATATCGCCGACTCAACAGATTAGTGTCAGCTTCTTTATTTGTGATGACATTGCTCTAATTTATCTAAAGTCATCGGAACCCGATTGACAACATCCTGATGCTGATTAGGTACAACATCAATTAGATCAATGACTGCCTCATAGGACAGTTTCGACATCGAAATAACTATTTTCTATGGTAAAGAATCGCCGCGAGGAAGATTCAGCTGTTTGTTATAACTCTGTAAATAGATTAAAAAAAACGGCAACTAAAACTTGAACACATGTCAGCGTCATATGTATACATTTCTAGAATTGTTAAAAACTTATTTGTTCCAATCTCTCATAGATCAGATCTAAATGTGTGTCTACGTCTGTTCTTGAAGTATAAGCATGTACAATGAAAACTATATTTTCTTCGAAGATCGATTTTAGGTTACGATTGACTTTTAAGATCTCAACTCGAATGAATGTCACATCGAATGCCATGTTGTCTGTTTTCCGTTGCATTAACATCATCCTCTACATTGATCGTAAGTGCATAGATGTGTTAGAACGTTCTTTTCTTCATTTATAAACAAGCAAGCAAGTGATTCAATAATGAAAGACGATAAGTTTCTTTTCTTTTTTTTTGTCAATGTCGCGAAATGCCTATGTTAAGTAAAATTTCCAAGCTTTTCTCTCGAATGATAACATATATACAAACGTTTTGCTCTCATCTTTTCAGATTTGATATATTAGTGCCCACAAAAAAGATAGCCCGAAGAATATGATAAGGCAAAAATTTCCTACTGGTTTCTAAAGTTTATTTTTCTATTAGGTAAAAGAATCGAATGAATTTCTCTCAAATTCTCATGTCTTTTTGTTTGATTTAGTTTAAATTTCCATTCTTGATTCAACGTCGAGTAAAATTTACAACTAGCTATTCGTACTGACTGAATATTTTATTGTATTTCTAGTTACCATATTCATTTGTGCTTATTTGTTTCGTGTGCCAGCCAGTTTTGCCACGATCCAAATGCACTTGTTGTTGAGTATCGGCGATGTATGGTAGCAAACATAGATCAACGGATGGGTGCGACTTGTTTTCCGATTCAAATATTTTCTGAATTCTATCCATTGCGCCATTTTAGGTTGTATGAAAGCCGAAAAGATGGAAGCGGCTGTTCGGTAAGTGTGTGACTGGACGATGGATAGATCATGCATGGAAATGGTTGCAAAAAACTTCGATGTGTTGATCTTTCTAGTCATCAAAACGAGAGTGGAATTCACAAACACATGGCTGTAACGACGATTCATCCAGTAATCGAAAATACATTCGAACACAATGTAAATCGTGTTTAAAAGGAACGTTTTCACATTCGAATAGGTTTTTTGTTTCGTATAGCCTCGTCAAATAATCGAACTGTGTCATCATCGTCGTCCTCTCAACAGCAACGTCAAAATGGTGACAAAGATAAAAAGACTGTCAAAGATGTATGCATAGATTTGCTTCACTATGTCTGTATTTTTGTAATTCTGAGTTAGGCGAAAAAACCGCTTCGTATTTGTGGTGATTGGTCCGAATTCAAAAGTTCGAAAGGTAAGAAAAGAACGTAGATACATCAGAAAAAAGATTTCTGATATCTATTTCAGGCAAAACGTATTTCTATAATTACAAAACTGAGATCTCTCAGTGGGAAAGACCAAAAGCATGGTCAACAGATGAGTAAGTCACATTGGCCATTTCTCGTTCAATTTCATATGTCTATTCATGTAGAAGTACATCATCCTCGATACGTTCAAGTTCTTCATCGAATTCAAATGATCGAACAAAAAAAGGTTTCGATTTGATCAAGTTTTTTAACTGTTGCCGAAGAGTTTCTCTTTTCATTCAGAATCAAGTCATGTCACAAACTCCTCTACAGTTCGTTCTCGACATAAGATGGAGGAGTCATTCCAAAACTCTCGTTCAACTGTAAAAGTTCATCATAACGGTGATCAACATTCTCATTCGACAAATAATTTCAATCAAGATTCGTTCCAATCCAATGAAAATCTAAATACATCGTCAAACAATCGCCATCCTAGTTCAAGTAAGTCAAAAGTATTGATCTCAATTACATTGAACGTTGATTTCCTAGACGATGAAAACTCTCGAATGTCACTTTCGCCGACGAATAGTAGAGATTCCCCAACTATAGCAGTCTCTGATCGAAATGGTAATACACTACATTCATCCCTATCTGAACCTGGTAAAAACACAAATTTCATGAATGATTTGTTCATCATTTCGTTTAGCTGTTCAAGTCACCACTCCCGTACCCGATGTACCAAATAAATCTCTTGAGAAAGATTCTATTCCTTTAAATGGTAGGAAATCTTTCTTTGTTTGTTTATTTTTCATAAATACAAGAATGGTGTTTAGGAACTGATACAAAAATTGCCACGACTCGTTCAAATCCTCCTTCAACGACAAGAACAGATCAAACGTAAATGAATGATTTTTTTTCTTCGAAATTAAGATATTTTTATATTTAGTTCGGAAAGTGAACCCTCTACTCCTTCCGTGTCAAAAGCTGAACGTGATCAAGAAATTCAAAAATATTATCGAAGTGATTTAATTCAACATTTAACTGATTGGCCATCAAATCAATTAGAGAAACAGGTAGAAGAATTGTCTTCGAATCACTTCATCTATCCGTTACTTTTGATTTAGTGTCTAAAACTTTTCGATGATTATTATGGTTATAGTGCTAAAATGTCTACAGGATTTATTGAACTTAAAGCATTAAAGTCGAACTTTCGCATCTTAGAGATAAAACGAAGTATTTTAACACAAAGGTAACGAGCATGTCACTTAGTTTTTACGAAATGACAGAGTTTTTACATCGTTTAGACTACTCCGGTGTCAACAACACATGAAAGAACGAGAAGATGATAAACTTTTATAGAATATCTGTTCATCTTTCTCCCGCCTGTGCATTCGTATGCACAATAAATGTTTGATTCTTAACGTGCGAGCTTGTTCGATATAATTCGGTATTTTTCTATCTGTCAGATAAGAAGAAATGTATCAACATCATTCTTTTTTTGTTGGGCTGGCTAATTCTAGAACAGCGGATCTTTTTTCACTTTCCCTCTTCTTCTTCTTCTTGGTTATTCTTTCCACAAAACAAATAAACCTATGTCTCTCTTCTGTATTGATATGTTCTACTTTCTTTTGTGTATCTTTCATTTTGTTGTTTATTCTTATGAAAAAGTTACACATTATATATATATATACATATGAAAGACAATATTTGTGTACAAAAGAAAACATATACATAATGAATATCTGTTTCAATGAGAAAAGTACTTTGCAGCCAAATGATAATCTTCGTTCTATAAGGTATTTTTGCTTCTTAACAATAGACGTAGGTGTTCGTTCCATGCAAACAATCAAATATTAAGTACTCAGAGATATTCAATCCCGAAAGTCTAATAAATGACAAAACATGCGATCTTAAGATATCAATCGACATCGGAGAATGAATAGTTTTCTTTGCTACTACGTTCTTCTTTCATGACTTAGGTATATTTGTATTAAACAATCTATCCTTCATCAGTACAAAATCAATGATCGAATGTTCCGGTCAACGTACACTTTCAAATGTCTGTTTTTTGTACTTCCCTTAAGTGCGTGATCGATGAGTATAGCGAAGATATAAAACTAGCAAAACATTCGTCACGCATGATGTACCTTCTATTGAATAGTTAAAAACCAATTGAATCTTGATAGTTATCACTCGGTGTATTTATTTATTTATTGCTTGATTGATTGTAAATATACACCTGTCGTTTATTTATTAAATATGCGGCCATATCTATTTTAGATAATGTCAAATGATAACGATCGCCTGCGTGAATTTATATCGTCGCCAATCGATCTGACGAAATTTCTTGCCGATGCGCAAAATGTCAAGGAACGTCTGAATACGTTAAAGTCATCGTATTCTAGTGATCAAGATCACCTTGATACGTTGATGAATGTATCGAAAACACTGAGTGACTATCGTCATCTTGAACAACAGGACGAATTGACACGTGGAGATGACGAGATGAACGAGGTTCTCGAAGAGGATGAAGCCACGACAAGTACGTGGCGTACGAGGCGAAAGAAAAAGAAATTGGACCCAGCTATCGTCAATAACTTAAAATTCTATCCTGCTTGTATTGAATATCTTTATCGTGAGTTCAGTCAATCACGTCCACACGCAGCACATGACACCGCATTTTTAAAAAACATTCGTGAATGTAATCAAGCACCAGCGAATTTTCATGATGATCGATTAGTTTTAAATTTACAAATCTTTTTCCCAATCGAATCTCGTGATCGTTATCGTCATCAATTAATGAACGAATTAATCTGTTTATCGACACTGACTTTAGCGCAGATTCGCGACACTATCGAGTGTGTTAGTGACGAGCAAATTCTCGGAGAGTATTCACAAAATCCTGAAGAAATCAAAACTATTGGTCAACGTGCAAGCGATGTAAACACTGCTGCTTGTTTTATCATCGAGTCGGTAATTTACGATGATTTACGTCGAACAAATGAACGTTTGAGTGAAAAGATTCTTCAACAAACAGATTCTACTTATACTCAAGGGAACACGATGGAAATGACAAGTTTAAATGACTTGAAAGGACTTCAACTCGGCAAACCCTACATTTATCTTCACCAGAACAATTGTGAGCATGTTATTGTCTTCAGTGAATTGAAATTACTTGAAAAAGACCAGTGTCATGATTCCAGGTAAGGGAATGTCTTGTTCGATGAAATCTTCTCTCAATTTTCTCTTTGTCTAGTCTTTATCCATTATGTCGAATGAAATATCACGGGAGATTTTCCTACTGCTTTCTCTGTAACGTTTTTTATGCCAAATGGTTGGTACGCAATTCACCTCTAATACCTGATGATCCATGTTTATTGTGTGAACGGTGCTTCAAGACATGTCACTACGATAAAGATGGCAATAAAGTGGGAGAATTCACTGCGCATCATTTTCCTCAATTGTAAAAATAGATTCAACTGTTTCTATTTCAAATAAATAAATAAATGATAAAAGGTCGTTCTTTGTTGTTCTGTTAAATAGAAGGGGATGCGTCTCTTGCGCTTTTTTCCTCTATTCTTGTTTCATTGACATACAAAAAAGAATTTAATATTTCATCCATCCAATGGTTAACAACGAGGCAAGTTTTAACAGCATAACCAACGCAACCACTCCCTCTGAAGTCATGTGTTTTTCCTGACGTATGAGATGGCAATCGTTGCCCTACATTTTCTATTCTTTTTCTTTGCTCTGTTGTTGTTTGCACAAGACTTTGTCGACGGATGACGTCGATTACACGAATAGGAAAGTAGTTTCTTTTTTTCTGCTTGTTGCTGTTATTGCTATCGCTTCGAAGAGATCGCTGCGTTTTTTTGCCTTTCTTCCACTGCAAAAACAACATTGACGTATACAAAAAAACATTGCTCCACTAAGGCACAATGACAATGTTCTTTTCATCTTCGCATCTATATCATTCATAGTCATCGATTTACGAACAGTTGTTTATTTTAGAAGAACGACATTTATAGATTTGACCAGGCTTTTGTGACCAAATTGAAGAGCACAACAAACTTTCGACGAAGGTAATTCGACTCATTGATTAACTTCGTATGCTAAAAAAGAGTGTGACAAAAGACATTTTGTGCTTCATTGCTTTTTTTTACCTAACTCGGTTTTTCTCATGTTCGACTGTGTATATAAATACGTCAAGTATCTGAATATCAATCAACGTATTATTTATTTCATTGTGCTTACTTACACTCATCCTTTACATTAGATAAGCGTTTATCAATTGATGAGTATTTGTTGAAAAGTCAATACAACCAACTGCAAGTACAACAACGTTACAATAATGTACAGATTAATGAACGAAGGTAAATAATTGAATACCGAGATTGAAGTTCAATTTGATTCGTTTTTAGTAACTAACGATAGCAATAACAGCCGATCATCGTCTGATTCACACTCTATTCATGGTGACGACTATTCCATGGATAAACGACGATCCTACCGAGTTCGCTCGTCGAATAAATTAGCTCTGGACGAGACGATGAATAGTAAACTAGTGGAACAAAATCTGTCATCTACAGGTACAAAACATCAATCAACAGCAGAAAAACGCCCCTTCCCATTTGGACAATGGTAAAGTCCTTGACATTTGTTAGTTTTTCTTAATAAGTTTTACTTTTATAGCCGAGTATGTATGGATAAAGCAACAGGTGCTCATTATGGCGTGCCAACTTGTGAAGGGTGTAAGGTAAATTATTTATAATGATAGAATTTGCCATAGCTGCAAATATACTTTGCCAATAAGTAATTGCAGGTCAACATGACCTTGACTAATATTTGAACTGTTTCAGCTAAATACAACGCGTACACATTTTGTGAATTAGGGAGGAGGGGGGAGAATGACTAATTGTAAGGTCTCCTGGGCAGTTTCAAGATAAACAGCTCATTAAAAGTACTTCGAATAGTTTTTTCACCGTATTGACTAATATGACTGCTTCTCTTGTTTTTTTTAAAGGGATTCTTCAAACGCAGCATCTTGCGGAAAGAAAAATATCGATGTTACTTTGGTGATGGATGTGTTATTAATACTGATAATCGTAATCGTTGTAAATCGTGCCGATTCCGAAAATGCCTTAGCGAAGGCATGTCCGTTGAAGGTACGTGAAACTCGATATCTCGTGTGTTGTTGACACAAGTTCTTTTCTAGGCGTTCGAATGGGCCGAATCCCGAAACTAGTCAAAGAGAAAGCCTTAGCTGAATATCAGTTATCCATATCGAGTATTGAAAACGAAGATCCGAGCTCATCGATTGCCTCGTCATCACCGTACATACGATCATTAGATTCCAATTCTGATCCATTCACGTCTGCCGATGTCGAATTGGAATTAATCGACGAGCAAGCGATGCTCGAGGAATTCGACGAATTAATATTAGAGAAATCATCCATAGCTTCAGGACTATCGACTCAATCTGCGTCATACGACCATTTCACCTTAGATGAAGCCAATTACTATGACTCGAATCATATAAGTTATGATGATGCGCAATATGCTAACGATGCTCTTCAACGTATTCAAGACCTTGTCGAGAAACTTTCTCAGCCAATAACATCCATCGATCTTGGCCGTGAAAATTCGGCATTTATTCGATATCTACGACGAAAGATGATTGAACTAAGCAATACTCACAATAGCTGTACACGACAACTAATCAGCCGAATGAATACTCTAATCAATAGCAACGTAAGCTGACCCATCGAACTTTCACTTCTCAACTAAACCATATTTGCTTTGTTTTTTAATTAGGCAAACATTTTTCCGGGTGATCAGTCATCCCTTCAGGATGTCTTAACGGGATTGACAGGTATAATGAAAGATTCTAATGAACCGGTGCCAAATGACATTGATATTTTTAGATGCCATTCCATTTCATGTCAAAAATCTCATCACATTTGCTCGACAGGTATGTATTGTTCTCAGATACGATTCTCATGTCTGTCAGAATTCATCAAGAATAAAAGGAATGAACTTATTTATTATTTCAGATGCCTGCAATTAATGAAATTGATCAAGACGATTTCCATAAAATAATGAACAACCGTCTATTTGACTTCTGGATGGTAAGAATCAATTCACTGACAGGAAGTTTCAGGAAATGATTTCGTTACTCTTTAGATAAAACATGCCCCGTTATACTGTCGAAACGAATCATATATTATGCTACCTAATGGCTTGCAATATACACGTCAATGGATGATCAAGATAATTGGAGAAGATATGGTTGAAGCAATGTTCACATTCGCTAATAAATTCAATGCTCTCAATTTAACACAGGAAGAATATGCACTAGTATTCCCAGTTATTATCTGTGCAAAAGGTAAGCAAGCTCGCTTTTGCGAAGTAAATCGTCATCGAATTCAATTGTAGACAAAACTCTTGATGATCAGGAGGCAGTACGTCACATTCAGTGCTGCTATTTATATGCTCTATATACGCAAATGTTAACAACACGAACACAGAGTGAAGCGCGAGCCGTATTTCGTAGTTTGTTACAGGTAATTTTAGTTCTAGGCCGTTAATAAATTAACTATTTGCGTATTTCATTCGTAGCTTTTAACTCTTCTACCATCACTAAATGAATTACAAGAGAAACCAATCGAATCATGTGTGCAAAACAGTGAGTGTTGATTTGACGTTCTTGAAATCTAATTGATGTTTTTGTTTTCTTTTTTTTCATTAGCAGCGAATTCGGAATTCTGATATGTGCCAATATGCTGTTTTCATACGTTGGAGTTGTTGTTTTATAGAACTTACCGTTGTAGACTAACGTTTTTCCTTCTTTTTCTTTTGGATTTTTTATTTCAGTAAGTGTGAATAAATATATATACTTTTAAACAGAAAAATTGCTACTCATAATAATGTATTGATCTACAAGCGACATGTTATTTGAGTGAGATGAGATGACAGAGCATGGCATCTCTTGGCACGATCGGCTCAGTGAAAAGAAAGACGAAAGGCCATCTTTGAAGTGTTTGCGTTCGATGAATTATATATAAATATCAATTCTCAGTGTTACGCGGAAAATCGAGTGAATGTTGTTAACCGAGCTGTGTTACTTTTCAACGATACGATAATCGTGCCTAATTTGTATGAAGGGACTGCTTTCAGATAAACTCTGTAGAAACTTGTGATATTTTTGTGTTCCCAGAGGAATTAAATACAGATTTAGGTTAATAATTTTCCTGGTATCGGCTGCAAATATAGAAATTGATTTGAAAACTTCATCATGCCTACAGAAAAATCAGGAACTAGATTGGCGAATTCTGTTAGTACACAGTCGTGATTATTCTTTTATGTCGGTAATTACTTGTGCCTAGATCTTGACTCGTCATTTCTAAATTTGGACGAACGATTTCAGTTTTATTCAACTAAAATTACTCGAAATTGTCGCGGACTTTTGTAATACCAATTTCTTCAATATCATTTGTATAAGCCCACTATGAGTTTCGCCGATTTGAATCTCCGTCGTTGCCAAAGCAAAGTTTAAATTATATGTTTCGGCGCATTTGAATGAAAGGTCAGACATTTATTTCGAAATATCATACAAAAAAGCTTTATTAAACACGACTGCCTGTGGTGCTTTTGAGAACATGCAATAATCATCATTGTTTTTGGATAGAAATAAATACACTTGAGACATTGCAGCTACCGATGAGTAATTCATAACTTTTCTTTTCCAATTTCGTTTTGTCACGCATCGTGAAATGCGAACAATACTGTCATACCGTAGAATGGGTTTTTCTTTGGGAAACTCCAACTGTCTATCACTTAAACGACTTGAAATGAGTAATAAATAACTAAGAATAGAGTTGCAGTATGGTCTAAATGTCTGATTTTTTCCAAATTACTCGAACTGTCGACAATATCACAGCAATATTATATCAATCATGTGTATTGATTCTCTATCAAATACTGCCGATGGAGAGAACGAAAAAAAAATCTCACCTTGACGATTTGAGTACTCGCACATTTTTGCTTGAGGGCAAGTTTTCTTTTGAGTTTTTCGTGATTTTTGAAATGTTACATGATTTACGAGTTGTTAACGTTGTCAGCAAACAAAAAAGAAAAAATTTCGTTTGTTGAATCACGAGACCAAGATACGCGGCGAAAAGAAACGATTTGTTTCGAGTATTTCATATATCTGATAAAGAAAAAGTCATTGAAATGACTCATCGTCAATACTAGTTGGAAGAAAAAACACGTCTATAAAATTTGATCCAGTTGAATAAAATGCTGATCTTTGGGCTGTGTCTAATTGTGAAATTAGTAACATTAGTCATACAAAAGCTAGATACAATCTTGGGATTTTTCCTTTTTGTCAAACCATTGCAATATTCTTGATAAATGTTTCTCGATATATTATGCAATACGCGGATATTCCAACTTTGTCTTAGTCATAATAAAAAGTAGATATACCAAAACGAGAAGCATCAATCATGTGTAACTCGATGATATCATTTGAAGCTATCTTTTTTTTATGAGACGAAATGAAAGAAAGATTGTCATAAAATGACGCACCTATCTTTTGCTTGATTAGGTTCGATTTTTTCGTTCTTTTCTACCGAGCAGAAACGAAAAAAAAACACAAACCGCGCCGCTCTATATAAAGCTATCGTCGAAATACAACGTACATATAGAAGAAAGAAGTTACGACGTGTCGTCTACTCTCGTTACAATGTCAAACTCACAATCACACGCACTACCAGCTGGCGTTTTCGACGCTTACCTCCCGTCAGTGCTGACTGATGAGGATCAACTTTTCGAGTCGCTCGATGTTCTGGTAAACTCAGTGGGCATCGATGTCAGCACCTTTTGCACAGGACATCGACAGGATGCTCCACTGTTCGATTCGATGTCGGCTGATACTGAGGCCGCTGAAACAATTCAAGATAACACCGACTATTCAATGCAGAGTCAATTTTCTAATACCGATGACATCGATACTTATCTTTGCGAAACATCGAGTGTCATACCACATCCTCCAAATGTATTTCTATCAACATCAGTGATGAGTACATATGACACTAAACAAAGTTATATTTCATCACCGAGCTCGCCGAAGTATGTCAACTGTAAACAGAAAAGAAACTTTCTTGTACATGATCACACAACAGGCAAAGACCGCCGTCCATATCTTTACGAATTTCTTCGCATGCTATTAGAAAATGGTGAATATTCACACATTATCCAATTCATCGATCGTAAACAAGGCGTTTTCAAACTTCTCAAACCTCAGGATATTGCTGAACTATGGAGATATGCGAAAGGACGCAATAGCGATAACGGTAAGTTCATTTATCCTTGAAATGAATAATTTCATCATTTGTCCGCTTTTCTTTCTCTTAGAAATGACATACGATAAAGTTGCTCGAGCATTACGCTACTACTATAGTAGTGAAATCATGCAGCCAAATCCCGGTCGCTATACTTTCAAGTTTGGACCTAAATCCGGTTTTGGCAAGTCTTGGTGGCCAGTCTGCTAATGCATTGGCTTTTTTTCTCTTACTCCTGATGTTTCCATGAGATATATTTTATATTTGACGCCGGCCGTCTTTTTGTTTCTTTTTTATAAGGTACACTACGAAATTGTGATCTATATTTTTCTGTTATGCCATGCCAATTGTGATACAAAATACGTGTTTACGTGCATCTGTTTTGCTTTTATTGTTTATTGTATTAGTGTAGTTTTTATCTGGAGAAAAATACAGTGTGTATTGAAGCATATTTTTACACATATCACAAAACCTACAATATTTATTTTGTATCGACAAAAACCTCCCATTTTGATTCGATTCAATAGAAGCGCTAATGGATGCAAAGGTTTTCGAAAGGTATTTTCGTCCTCTCGTTATTCTACTGTATCGATCGTCTTCATCGCGCATATTATTGATTAGATTTGAGAACGACATGCATGAATGAGTGAAACAAAATAATACGTGTCTGATCATAGTCGCGTAAACAACGTCTGATGTGTATACGATCAGCGAAGAACCTCATCGGTTTTGCAGCGAGAGAGACGAGTGCTTTAGCTATAGATTAGAATGTCTCTTGTTCGATATGCTATGGTTCGGAGCGAATACATAAAGAGTTTTCGTCGGAAATTTTATCGTCAAGGGGTACGGAAGAAAAGTGTACGAGAAGAATATCGTACTCAATCAATTTCATTTAGGCAAACCTATTGATTTTAAATTCTGATTAGTCGAGAAAGAGAGAGGGGAAAACATAAACATTCTCCCATCTTGTCTACCGTATTTCGACGGTGTATCTGTATGTCATTAATTTACGTCGACAGTTTAAAATCAAGCGCCCGTCGAACACATAAACAAAAGATTCGGCTTTGAATGATTTCGACATTGTGTTAATAACTTATTCTAAAAATAGTCAAAATGTGCTTAAGAAGTTAGAAGAACAACGATATGATATAATTGCAAGAAATTCATTTATCAATAGCGTTGACAATGATACGCTTTTATACTGATGCAGTCTCTATCAAGACATAAGAAGTCAAAATTTGATGAAGTGTCCTTTTCTGGATACACTAGTGAAAAATAACACATTGAACTCTGTCAGTGCCGAAAGTGTGTATTCATGTTCAATTGTGTTGACATAATATGTAGCACATATCGGACTGCAAATGAAAAAAAAAAGTACTTTTTTTGTTTTGATATTGATGAGGGAGATGTTTTTTCCTTTGTTGAAATAGTCCAATGAATAAAATAGGCGTTGCAACATTTTGAAAAAGAACGAAAGAAAAGCAATTAGACCGTCAATAACGACTGTTGGATCCTATGGAAACTGGTGTATTTGACGCTTCAAATAAGAATGATTTCCGACAAAATTCAGTGGAAATACCCGTTAAATTATCAGCTGTTGCCTTTAATTTAGCGCGTAAAGTAGTTCAACGAAGCACGAGCATTGATCTAACGACAAATTCACACAATTGATTCAGGGAATATTATGAGAAAATGATCTTGTTAATATTGCAAATCGACATTCTGGAATAGATTTTTAACGCGACCAGACAAGATTTCTGAATCTTACACATATGTATTTTAATTCTCCTTTTCTCCGTTTTATGCACGGCTTGCGTAATATTCTTACACAACGTCAAAATTTAAACAACTCATATACCATAACACACTCAAACAGATTCGACGAGCCGCGATCCCAGTTCGAATCAAATGTATTGAGACTGAAGCACTACAACCAAGCTGTCAAGCCATCGCAAGATGAGTTTGGCAGCCATGGACTGAGATCAAATCGACACTCGTCACGATTTCTTTTTTTATTGCGACGAACGTTGCTCATTTGTCTAGAAATTGATTACTATAGTTTCAAAACAAAAGACTGAACGAGACTGTTGGATTGTTTTTTACCTAACAAATATTTATTTTCCCGTTATACTCTTTGCTTTTTTCAAAATAAGTCATGATTTTTTAGATGATCATTCATGTGATTATTTTATTATTCGAAAAAAAACATTTCTAGACGTTTGCATTTTGTGACAGTTCCAGACTTTGCTTTCCAACTCTCGATGTTCTTTTTTTTTATTAAAGTCACGGATTACCAACAGGTGCTCTAAAATCTATTGATTAAAATCAGTTTTTCGTTTTCCAACTTGGTTTTCCCTTGTTTCATGTTTATTCCCTACTCATCAAAAAGTCCCATGACGATATTAATTTTAATTGAAAAAATTAATTAAGCTGGGTGAGACTCCCTACAAATTGAGGAAGTGTTCCCAATGCGAAAGGATTTTACAGCGTGTTTTAAGAAAACCGTGACATATTAATCGCCATGAATTTGAATTTAACTAATGAATATCTTTCAGAATACTGTCTTTAGATCAGCATAAGCAATATTCGACAACGTTGATAGCACCAGCGGCTTCAGTACGCTGATAAACAGCAAGAGGCGTGTTCTTGAATGAAATCTTAAAAATATTTATTTAGTTAGCAACGAAAAAATCCGCAAAACAACAAGCCGCGGTTAACTGAAAATTTAAGGACGGTTCGAAGCGCACGGACCACGAATTATCTGATCACAACAATTTTTCACTATAACGTCACAGACGTATATACAAAATAAAAAATATCTGAGCACCAGCCATAAAAAGAATAATAAATATCGGTAGTACTCTCCAAATCGAGTCTATCTAACCCCATTTGAATATGGATGAGAGAATATCATCGACTTCATCCTTGTTAGTTTCGAGGTATTTCTTTGATACTGGATGACGGTTGAAAACAGCATAAAGTTCGTCGACGATCTGACGACATTCCGCAAGTGTCGTGCACGATCTAAAGATTCGTTCTCGAGCGGCATTGGCTTCTAATAGAACTTCTTCCCATCCAGATTCATTAGGCACTTCCCATTCGTGACCATCAATGACAATTCTTTGCATCAATGGCCGAGAGAGTACGATGTCAGTGAGTAATATCAAAGTCAAAAGTATGAGACGCATGTGGTATTCTAATATAAAGTGAATACAAATAGGAAACTATGTTGTTCGCTTCTGTTGATCTACTTACAGCAGTGTTTGGTGGAGGTGAACAGTATACGAAGAACTATCCGTCCGTAAGAATCGGTTTTTTATATATGCAATGTTCTGTGCGAGCCATGATTTTATAACTAACCGTTATGCTTGAAACGTATACTGTGTGGGATTTTTGTCTATAATAATAATAATGCGTCATACGTACGAGAGATTGTGCAATATAAGTCAAGCCCGAAGTCAATAGAATGAAAGAGTGTTTTTCTTTATTACTATGTACATGACTCGATTCTTATTCCGCGAAACAAAAAATCGTGAGTAAATAATATAAAATATCAACGAAATCCGTCCTTCACTGTCTATTCAGCCGAAAAGAATCGTGAGTCATGGTCCTTGAAACAACCATATCCTAATGACGTTTTGTTGCATCGTATGTCAAAGAACTATGATATCATTTCCTTGATCGAATTTCGTAGAAACTAGTTCGAAATCACTGCTCAGTTTTCGGGAGCATGACATTTTCGCTCATGCTTTCGATTGATTTGTCCAAGCATGTCGCGTACGCCTACAAGAGCGATACGAATCTAATTTGAAAGAAAGTGCGAGGGTGTATTTTGTAATAATTGAATGCAGGCGGTGTGAACGTTTCACTTATTTGAAATAGTTTCTTTGAAATATAAATCCATGTGCTGTTCTAGGTGCAGGCATTATACGATGTAAAATTGTTGGACATATGTGATGCAGTGAAAATGACAAAATAGAGTAAGAACGAATATACATCTGAATGTCATTGACAAGAAAAAAAGTCACTATATTGAAATCCTTTCAGTATCAAGGACTAACATCACAAAGACACTAACCTATTTTCTCCATTATAGTGTAAGCCTAAGGTGTTTGCGTAGGAATGGGAGTAAGCTTAAATGTCATGGTGTCATTTTACCGCGATAGGATATAGAGCATCTAGGGAGATGTCAATATTTCGAGTAGACCGATCATCTTTGAGCTCATTAGAATATAGTTTTATTCACTATACAGCTCAACTATCTCACTATCTAATTTCCGAAGAGGAGTCTTTGATATTTTACATCGTCCATCTATTATATGTAACAAGGGCTTTCAAAATAATTATTGACTACCTGCACGATGATGGATCCCGAATTTATTTGGTTTTACATACTGGCGGACATCAGCGAATCCGTACCCCATCGGTGCTACAAAATCTTACTAACTGTCTGCATTGTAAGCGGCAGTTAAGGTCATCGGAAGATGATTACACAGTAGAACTACACAGCTTGCGTAATATTCTTACACAACGTCAAAATTTAAACAACTTATATACCCGAACACACTCAAACAGATTCGACGAGCCGCGATCCCGGTTCGAATCAAATGTATTGAGACTGAAGCACTACAACCAAGCTGTCAAGCCATCGCAAGATGAGTTTGGCAGTCATGGACTGAGATCAAATCGACACTCGTCACGATTTCTTTTTTGTTGAGCTTACTTACGTGAGAACACTTGCGTAATATTTTGCCAGAAAACTAAGTGCATGATGTCATTTTGTTGTTACCGATGAAATAACAATGGTCTTTGTGTGAATTGAGTTATAACAAATTAATTTATTTAAAAAAATAGATTTCCATGAGCGATTACGGTGTCAACATTTAGTTCATATGATGACACCAATAAATTGACCTAAGTTGAAAATTAACTTAACCCCACTTGAATATAGACGAAACTATGTCGTCTACTTCCGCTTTGTGAGTTTCATAGAAATGCTTGTATTTGGGATAACGATCGAAAATAGCTGAGAATTCAGCAACTATCTGACGACATTCACTAGTTGTCCTACATGATTTAAAAACACGTTGCTGTGCCGCAGTTGCTTCCTTAACGATTTCCTCCCATTCTGGTTCGCTTGGAACCTCCCATTCGTGTCCATCGACTACAATCCTTTGCATCAACGGCCGGCAAAACACTTTGGTGATGAGCAAGAACAGTATCCAAAAAGTACTACGTACGTCATATTCCAATCTAAGTATAACATATATCGAAGTTAATATAGTATAGTATTATCATCTACTTTTATATACTTACAACATTGTTTGTATCGTCAGTGTACGTCTCTATTGACTATAAACCTGTCGTGTGTATGTGACCGAATCGTACGTGTGTCACACTGTAAATATGTCTTCGTTCGACTCGATGAATCAGATGTATGATGTAATAATAGATTGAAGCAATCTCTTGTTAAGTGAATCAGACTTCCTGATTAGCAGATGTTTACATAGTCGGATTATTCGTGGAATACATTCCTTTTATATGTTCAAGAGCAAGAAAGACAATGAAGTTAGGCGAAGTGTGTAGATGATTCTGTATCGGATGCTTATTCATTTGACAGATAGCACGCCAACGCTATCTTGATTTAAATAAATCGTATGATACTTTGATCGATAATACACGAAAAACGATGATTTGTCTACTTTTACATTAAAATGATAATTTTTACAATCATAAATATGGTGATTGTAGTTTTCAATATCAAATGCTTAAAAAAAGCGGTCTACCTTTTGCCTACACATCAAATCAATCAGTCATAGACTATTGAGCATGTGCCTCCATAATTGGTATGGGATTTTTGCCATAAAGGGGAGAAAAACAGAGAAATGACACATTCAGTATTAATCTTTTAAAGTATATGCAAGAAAACATAAGTACTTTCGTATTGACATAATGACAAATCTCTGAAGGTATTTCGACTAGGAGACGAGAAAACCTTCCAAGTAGTTCCGATATAGTAGAACACTCTTTGGTAAATAGAAATTAATTTGAATAATAAATTGGCAGAACTCGAAATGTCATTAGACCGTCGCGGAACATTGTATCAACATAAATGAAATCGACGTTTTCAATTTAACTTACCCAATCAGAGATTGAATACCAATATTTCATTCGTGAATATTCCTTTTCGTAATTTCGAAATGAATTTCAGACAGTCAGAGAGACGTGTACGTATGTACGTACGTACGTACGTATTACCCATGTACGCTTGTGATTGGTATATTGTCGACCATTCGCGATATTAACGTAAATGTTAGGTATAAAGCGGACAAGAAAGAAACATCGATCTATCTTAACTATGAATAAACGTTTAATTAGACGATTTTCTTTCCAAATAAACTATTTTAATTCGAATGTATCTTTATTTGAAATATCGATCTATAAAAGTCGATCACATGGCACTGTTCTCTTTTCTTGACTACTTTGATAGCCCAGTTCGATCATTCGTATGACATTATATCCATCTTCCGGCCGAATCTCTAACTTTTTTCCAAGAACAATAGCTGCATACAATTGCTCATAGAAAAGACCATAATGTCCACGTACTGTTGGGTATTTCTCTTTCGTTATTCGTCCATCTTTAATTTCTGTATGGAGAAGACCGTAATCTTCCACGGGCTCCTTTCCCCAATCGCTTTCTTCATTTAAAGTTGAGGGCATCGCCCCATTTCGAAGCACACCTTCTTGAATATCATCACCGTGTTTGATGAAAGAACCTAATGGGCCATGTAGAACATACCGTGGGCCCATTTCGCGAACAAGCATACTAGACTTCAGTGTAACACGTAAACGCCCATAATCAAGTCGAACATCGAAATAATCATCAATATTTGCTGTTGGTCGTTGTGTTCGTATATCAGCAGTAATTGTTTGTGGCTGTCCGAATAAACTCAATGTTTGATCGATTAAATGTGAACCTAAGTCATAGAATATACCAGCACCAGGTTCATTTCTTTCGCGCCATACATTGCCAGGTTTTAATTCTGGCCGATAACGATCGAAATGTATTTCACAGTCTAAGATTTCATCGCCTAACAGTTTCTTTTCAATAATTTTCTTAATTGTACGATAACCGGAATCGTACCGACGGTTTTGATAAGGACAAATGATCAATTGTTTTTCCTTCGCTAATTCAATCAATTCCAATGCTTCGGAACTTCGAATCGTCATTGGCTTTTCAACAACAACATGTTTGCCTTTTCCTAATGCTTCTTTACTCAAAGAATAGTGCAAATCATTTGATGTCGTTATAATGACTAGATCAATATCTGGATCATCAAACAATTCCGTTGTCGAACGAACTGTTTTTATATACGGATAAATTTTTTCTGCTTCATTTGCATGTCGTTCTACCACACTTCGCAATTCATACATATTCGACATAGTATGCATAAACGGGGCATGAAATACTCGGCCTGATACGCCAAAACCGATTAGACCAACACGTATTCGCCGTGTTGAAGACATATTAATGAATACGATCTGAAACAATTATTGACCGATAGAGTGCATAGTTTTTTTTAATTTTATCGTTCGATACTTTATCTTTCTTATCTGTGTCACTCATTCAAATGCGTTGCCCTCGTTCGTCTTACTTTCAGTCAAAAGAAAACAATAGAACAAAAACGAAATCGATTTGAAACCTTTTTGAGAAAAAACAAAAAACATCGCAAAGCACTGTAGAAAGTGAATATGCACTTCGTACTCAACCTTTCAACATTTAATAATCGATTATAGAAACATCTGTTCCGATAGCAAAACCAACCATTCAATGACACGATTGCTGATACATAAAAACAAACGAAAAATTTTTTATGAGTCAGATGCATATTAATTACGACGTTTCTTATTTGTGACAAGCTCAGGTGACTAAAAGTAAAAATAGGTTGAAGAATACTTGATGGCTCGGCCTTTGCGTCCATTTTCGATTTTAATCGAATATTAGTCGGTGAGAAGAAAAATCTCTGAAAGGAAATATTTTCGATGAGGTGATTTTTCAGTGCATGCTTCTATGTCGGAATTTTGCAGTACATTCATATCAACGAACGAAGATATGCAACATTATTAAACCATCTGACACACCCCCATTGCCATCTAACCAATCAAAATGCAAGTCCGAAGTACAATACAGAAGAAATATCGACACACCTCCTTTCTCTCTCTCTCTTGTGTATCATTAAAGAAAAGTTTTCTTCTCTTCTTCCTCTCGTACACTTTGCCCCCTGTGTCTCGGTATAAATATGGACGTCAGCTTGTGTATTTTCATCAATTGCTAACGCGCAAAATCAAAACAATAAGGTAGGAATTTTTGCAAAACAAACATAATCGTATATATTCTTAATTTCGTTTTTGGTTTTTTCACTTTGTCCCAAAAGAGAAAAGAAGAAGTAGAAGAATGCGCTTATGATAACATAAAAGAGAGACGAATAGATAATCACATGCATACATATAAAGATCATAAAACAAGTTTTTGGATGACCGGGAGTGAAGGTTTTATCCTTCATAAATAAAAACCATGATAGAGAAAGAGAGAAACAGAAAACTAAACAACAACAACAACAGTTATAATAATAGTAATGATCAGAGTAAGAGTAACAACATGTTGACAGTTACAACAAAAACAATAAAATAGAGTTGTAGACAGGAAAGATTTTCTTCCTTTCTTTTCTGGTTTTGTTTCAGAGATTTTTACTATGAAATTCTAATTGCTCTTCTTATTGCTATGACTGCTAGTAGCAAAAATAGGTTGATCGACTGTTTCGTCGTTGTCCGATTTACCATTTGTTAGACCTTGTTGTTTTTGTTTGAGTTTATTAGAGACTTTTGGTGAAGTCATTGTTGTTGGACGTGCACTACGTTGTTCACGACGACGACGCATATGAAACTAAAGACAATCGTGAATGTTTGTAGGAAAATATGAAGTTCTTCTTACTTGAATAAAATTCCAAACAAGCCAGAATTGTAGAACACCGGTAGCAACAAGTGTAAATAGACGAACAGTTGGTGTGTTGAAGTTTGAGATAATGACCGACTCATTGATTGTTCCATTGTTATCGTTTGAATTTGTCACCGGAGCTGTTGTAAATGTAATTTTGTTGATCGAGGTGGTTTTTAAACCGAACCAAAATGTTAACCAGGCTAAAACAACTGACGCAAGACGACCGATAACGAAGATAACATTCCAAGTTTTGAATAGATAAGTGGAGATTGATCTAGCTGGTGTCGGACCGGTTTTAGTTGTCGCGTAGAAATGAGCGAGACGCGAAGCATGATAGAAGATTTCGATTGTATAATGAATTGTGAGTAAAACCAGCGAGATACGCCAGAAACGTGTCAAATAAGCGTAGAGAATTGTGATTAAATAGAGACTTGTGTACACAATGCGAGCAGGAATATCTTCTTTGCGAACTTTTTGTAAGTATAGTTCAGGAAAGTTATGTAACCAGTAGGACAATTGAACGATAAAATAAAGCTTTGTCCATGTTGTCATGCCTGTGTAAGGATAGTCACGCCAGAGATATTCTAGACCAGATTTAAAGTAAGCTTCTTCATTGAATAGCATCATTCCCCAAAGAACACTGATGACATAGAAGAGAATCAATTGACCCGATTCGAAAAACTTCGCATTCTTCGATTTTGACAAATGTAATTTCTTATATAATTTATCCAGGACATACTCTTGCCAGATAGCATGGGCTGTGATACAGATGAGTGTATAAGAGAAGAGCATAGCTAGGTCTTTATAACCGTAATTAAAGAGTGGTGCTGGTGAAGAATTTAACGATTCCAATGTTGTGACGTTATGGCGCGGACCAAAGAATGCCATACAGTAAGGCGATGTTGCATGCACTACCGTGCCTAGGGCAACTATCATCAAGATACCACAGGCAATGTCACCTAAAATAGAATCGAATGTTATTCTGGTGTTCTGTTCGCTCCCTGGATGTTTAAAAATAGTTGAAGGTGAGGACAAAAACAGCGTTACGTCCATTAATAGATATGACACTGCAGAAGTGTTTTGTTTTCTCTCTGTTCTTACCGTGATTTTGAATGAGATATTCTTGACTGAAGATGGGCGGATTTTTTGTACCCGTTTTCTTCTTGAGTGCTGTTGGTGGTGGTGGCATGATGAGATTGTTGTTTTTGTTCGCAGTCAAAAATGTGGAAGAAAGAAAATGAAACAAAACAACAAGCTATCTAAAATGTATAAATATAATAATCATTTATTCGTTTTTTCAATTTTAGTTCAACATTTTGAGAAAAATAAAACAATGGAAGTCTTTGCCAATGCGAATAACTGTCTCGATGGTCTTCCTGCGAAGATTCGTAATTATGTAGAAGAGAAAATAAAATTATGTCAACCGGCTAATTTCCATGTATGTGATGGAAGTGAGCAGGAAAATCAACAACTGCTAGATGCCATGGAAGCAGCAGGAGTTGTTCGACGTTTAACAAAGTACAAAAATTGGTAAGAAAAAGTCGAAAACATCATTCTGCAGGTAAACATCCGTTTTTATTCTAGTTACATTGCAACAACAGATCCACGTGACGTTGCCCGTGTAGAATCGCGTACAGTGATATGCACAAAAAACATGAATGATATTATTTCCACTCCGACTTCTGGTTTTCCAGTTGTAACTGATCCAAATTTACCAAAGAATTTAAAGCAAACACCGTTAGGCAATTGGATGGACACAGATGAAATGCTGGAGATTCTTGAAGAACGTTTCAATGGCTGTATGCGTGGTCGGACAATGTACGTAATTCCATATATGATGGGTCCATATTCAAGTCCATATTCCAAAGTTGCAGTGGAATTAAGTGATTCACCATATGTCGTTGCTTCCATGCGTATTATGACGCGAATGAGCTCTAATGTATTCAAAGAAATCAAGACTTCAGATGGATCGGATATTGTCAAATGTCTTCATTCGGTTGGTGTCCCATTACCAACAGATAAACCAATATGCCCGACGTGGCCATGTAATCCTGAGCAAACACTGATAACGCATTTTCCCGACAGAAATGAAATTATCAGTTTTGGTAGTAATTATGGTGGAAATTCACTGTGTGGAAAGAAATGCTTAGCATTGCGCATTGGAAGCACATTAGCCAAGAATGAAGGATGGTTAGCCGAACATATGTTGGTAAGTGATGGAACTTTCGAACGAACAAATGAATGGTCGAATTTGTTTGTTAATTAGATCATGGGCGTAACGAATCCTGAAGGTATGAAGAAATATTTTGTTGCTGCTTTCCCAAGGTAAACCAATCGTAAAAGAAAGAGTACGAATAATCATTTGTGATGCTTTCAGTGCTTGTGGAAAAACGAATTTGGCAATGTTGCAACCTGTTGGTATTCCAGGATATAAAGTTGAATGTATCGGAGATGATATTGCTTGGATGCATTTCGATGAAGAAGGTCGTCTGCGAGCCATTAATCCTGAGTTTGGTTTCTTTGGCGTCGCACCTGGCACCAGTAAATCGACAAATCCAATTGCATTAGGTAAATAAAGATTTTTTAACCTGCTGTTGTAGATACAGAACTTGTTTCTCTTGGTAGATATGATACATGAAAATACGATCTTCACAAATGTTGCCGAAACGAGTGATGGTGAAGTCTATTGGGAAGGCATTGGAGAAAATTTTGATGGTCTTCATGAGCCAACCATACGTTCATGGAAAAATAAACGATGGTCAGTCGATTTAGGTGAGCCAGCTGCTCATCCAAATAGTCGGTAAGAAACACACACACACACGCACAGACACACAAGAGCATATATTCACTTCATTTCTATGACTTAGATTCTGTACAACAATCAAACAATGCTCTATCCTTGATCCTGCGTGGAATGATCCTCAGGGTGTACCAATCGAAGGTATTATTTTCGGTGGGCGTCGACCGGCAGGTGTACCACTAGTCTATGAGTCATTTGATTGGCAACACGGCGTTTTCGTGGGTGCCAGCATGCGATCGGAAGCTACCGCTGCCGCAGAATTTAAAGGTAAAAAAAGAAGAAAAAGGAACTAATGAAATCCATTTCATTGTCTTGTTCTGCGTAGGCAAACAGATTATGCACGATCCATTTGCAATGCGTCCATTCTTTGGATACAACTTTGGAAGTTATCTTGCTCATTGGTTGTCGTTTGGAAAGAAAGATGGACTTCAGTTGCCACGAATTTATCATGTGAATTGGTTTCTTCGAGATCCGGAAACGAACGGTTTTCTTTGGCCAGGTTTCGGAGAAAATATTCGCGTAATTGATTGGATATTTCGACGTTTAACAAACCAAGCATCAGCACGAGAAACACCCATTGGTTTAGTACCTGACCAGGCAACTTCGGACGGCATCCGTGGCGGTGAAGTAAATCCTGCTCTGTTGGAAGTCTCCAAAGAATTCTGGTTGAACGAATGTCAAGCAATGAATAAGTACTTCGAAGAAAACGTCAACACAAATTTACCAGAAGATATTCGTACAGAGTTAAACAATCTTCAGAAGCGTTTATTACAAATGTAGAGTATCTCTTTCACATGAGTAGTATTCATAATCTCGTTTTTATTTCTATACACATGTATCCTCCTGTCTTCGCTCATCCCGTTCTCGTTTTCTGTAATGGAAGTAAAACACAAGATAAAGTAGTTTTTACATTCATTTGTCTTTTTTTTCGAAATAAAGAAATGTGCGCATTTTCGATTAAGAATGATTGCTTTATACATACAAATTACATTCGAGGGTGCGACTATGTCTATTCTCATTCCATTAAGCATCGCTTTCGATTGCTGCCGTTGAAGGTATAACAGGCGAGGGTGGACTATCATTGTCTTTTAACGATTGAACTGGAACTGACTTAACTGGTGATGTCTGCTGTTGCATTATGGTCGTCACATCTTGATTAACGCCATTGATGGGAACAATTAAGTTGTCTTTAGGAATTAAACCATAACGTAAAGCGAAGACAGTGAATCGACGGCAGAGGTGAGTGCGATCTTCGAATTCATCGTAGAGTGTGCGATGATGATAGTAAGCATGAGAAAATATTCGATAGATACGACGACAAACACTACCTAACTTGGCAATCGAGGTTTCTTTGATGGAGATTCTATGAGGAAAGAAGATTATCTTCATTAAATCAAAACAATTTTTTTTATTACCGGCTTGGAAAATACTTATTGCTATTTAACAACGAGGCAGCGCCATCGAGGGTGTGTCTAGTATAGTCAATTGCTGGACACTAGAGAAAAAAAAACGCCATTGTCTTTCATCATATAAACAACTTCCTTTACTTCTTTCGGATTTTTATGTGCAGCACATAAGAATATCCATTGTTCAGTGGCGGTCATTTGCGAACACGTTTCAGGTAAGCATTCTTTCTACACCGGATAAACAAGAGTGAAAATCAATGGAAATTTTCGATTTCTTTTACTTGTAAAAGAACAGTTAAATCGTTCAATTCCAGACAAAATTGTCGTAGATGTTCATACTTCCAAACGCCTTCATCTTGTTGATCAGGCGCTTGAAGAATAAAATCAATATCTGATGGATTGCGTCGAATTGATTGTTGAATATACTAAATAGTCAAGTCGAATAACAGAGCATTGAGGCAGGTCAATTCTTACTTGCTGAATATGATAGAGTGAATCCATATTTTCGGATGTTTCTTCTGGCCAATGGCACCATTCGGCCGCTTTCGTACCAGGTCGATTACGACGCAATGGTAATTTCGTATTTATTTGTAAATCAGTCATATCTAGAATAAGAATACAAAACAAAACGCTATAATTATCCGGGCCTGTGCACGAGGGGAATGTATCGTTTAAGCGGTGAAACCGTTGCATAGAAGCGAACAAGTTATCATGCGTTTCATTCAGAAGGGTACTGTTTATGATATTACCGGTGTCTCACAACATCAATTTTAGTCTTTCGATCACTTCATCAACAGTATTTACGACAACCCAGTCCTTCTCTGAACCTTCAATAATAAAACGCGCTTTTCGCATATTTTCGAATAATTCTAATAGTGGATCGTAATATCCATCGAGATTAATAATAAAAATAGGTACATCGATCAATTTCAAACGTCTCCAAGTAATCGCTTCCATTAGTTCTTCGATTGTTCCAGGTCCACCAGGTAAAGCAATAAGCGCATCTGAATTCGTCATCATACCATGCTTGCGAATATGCATAGATTCCACCTCGTGTACTTCTGTTAAACCAGGATGGAGTATTTCCGTTTTCATAAATGTGGGTATCCAACCGATAACTTTTCCTTGCGCACTCAGTGCTCCATCTGCAACTGCGCCCATTACACCACATTGTGCTCCGCCGTAAACGACCGTTATGTTTAGCCGAGCAAGTCCTTCGCCTAACTGTCGACCCGCTAGGAGAAATTTCTCATCAGACGCGTCACTCGACGCGCAATAGACGCACACACGCTTCGAAGTCATATCTTGAATGAAAACAAAAGAAAGTCTAGGAACAACTGTTTTCTTATTATATATCTTGTCTTTCCGATAAAATATCAAATAAATAGATGTACAAATGCCTGCATATTCATAAATAAATGTATTTAAAGATCTACACGTGATGCCAAGGGAATATTTCGAAGTTCGTATTTTTTCGAAAGATGCTCCGAAAGAATGGTCATAATAACAATGCAGAAAAATTGCGTCACATACCAAGAAAAATGATGTGGAGATTGAGAATTATACACCCAACATGCTAGGAAATGATAGACATGTATCGTTACCGAAAAATCCAAACATTGCTTATATCGTCCGACTATGTACACAATTGCTAATCCACTAGAAAACAAAGAAAAACATCAGTAAATGTACTTCGTGTTTCTCTCTTTGTGTTTACCTTGTTAAAGCGTTGAGGAAAAATACACTGCTGAACAATCGATTATTCCAATTTGACGTTTTGAATATCTGAAAAAGAAAGGTCGAGAATGACCGACTGATGCTACTATATTGTGTTTTCTATACTTCATAGGAGAACATATAGTCAAGTGAAGGGCTACGATCAACAACAACCGTGATTAACAATACCCAAAAGCCAAGTCCCAGATAGTATAACGTTTGGATAGAAATAATCTGA